GAATGGCCAAGGAGGATGATGTACCGTAGAGGCTGCGCTGCGGCACTACGTAAAACATAGGTATTCATGATACTTGCCTTCTTGTGACTCCTCTAGCTCGAGGGTGTGATGGTTTGACAACGTAATCATAGATTCTATACCCCAGCGTGCATCGGTGTTTTGTAATCAAGGCATCGAAAGTCCAAAGATTCCAAAGATGGAACGGTCATCATTGCCTAATCGTGAAGCATCTAAGCAGAATAGCGTCTATAAAAGCACTGCAGTATAGGTGTTAGTTGCCGGTTGGGGTGGAACAGTGACGTATGCAAAATCGTGTGGCCCGCAACAACAACTCCTGCAACCGACATATCACCGAATAATGTCTTCATGGAGTGTTCATTCTGACTTCATTACATTGGTATCATCATTAAACTATGCTACAAATTTCGTTACACTGACATCAGATCTAGTACCTGGTCAACTTGGGGCTGCCCTCCCACGCCGGGAAACTCCACTTGGTCTCCACAAACACCTTCTGCATGCCATCCTCCTTCTTCTCGAACTTGTAGTAGACCTTGTCCAAGTCTTCGAGGCGGACACGGTGAGTGACCATCTTTGAGGGGTCGATGCGCTTCTCCTGGATCATCTTGAGGAGCGACTCCCAGTACATGTGTACAGGCGCCTGACCGTTACCGATGAGACGGATACCGCGCTCCATAAGAGAACCGATGTTGAAGTGGTTGGTGAAACCGACGTATACACCGGTGATACCGCAGCGGCCCATGTTGCGTGTGCTGGTGATCATCTCGTTGATGAGCTCGCTGGTGTCGGTTTCGAGACCGAGCATCATCTCGAAGTAGTGGGCCCAGCCCTTGGCGTATTCGCCGGCGGCACACTCAATGCTGACGTCGGGGCCGCGGTTGTTGCACATCTCCTTGAGCTTGCTGGTGACGGACTCGCCCTTGGCTAGGGTGGAGAAGTCGATGGTCTCGATGTTGGGGTACTTGGACTTGACGAAATCGAGACGCCAATTTTGGTCGATCATGATGACGCGCGATGCGCCTTGCATGAGAGAGAAGTCTGCGGCCATTTGTCCGATTGGACCCGCGCCCCAGATGGCAACGACGTCGCCCTTGTTGACGCCGGTGTCGACGACTGCGTGCCATGAGGTGCATACGACGTCGGAGAGGAAGAGACCCTGCTCATCCGGAACGTCATCGGGAAGAGGCAGTAGGTTGACGTCACCGTAAGCGACACGGGTGTACTCTGCTTGGCCTCCGGCGTATCCACCAGTGAAGTGAGAGTAGCCGAACATGCCTGCTGTCCGGCCACCGTACATGGCGTTCTCGATGGTGTTGGAGTTGGTCTTCTCGCATTGGGAGGACAGCTTCTGCTTGCAGTAGTAGCAGTCACCGCAGGCGATCTGGAAAGAGGCAACAACTCGTTGGCTATTTGGTGTTAGCGACGCGCTGATCAAAGACTCGGATGCGTACGTACCCCTTCTTGAACTTTGTGACACCAGGTCCGCACTCGTCTACAACACCACAGAACTCGTGTCCGAGAATGTCGCCCTTCTGCATCTCCACGACAGCGCCGTGAAGCAAGTGCAGGTCAGAACCGCAGACGGTAGAACCAGTGACCTTGACGATAACATCGCGGTCCTCTAGGATCTTGGGCTTCGCGGTGTCGATCATCTGAACATCGTTCTTGCCGTACCATGCCAAAGCCTTCATCGTCTCTGAGTAGTCGGCGGTGCTCTCGTCGTTGCCAGGGTTGGTGACGTTCTGCGCGGTGGTGGCGTTGTCACCATGGCCAATGGCCTTCTCAGCCTGGCGGGCTGCTTGGGACATCATCTTGGGCTAAAATTTGATGCGTAGTGGTATGTGTGAAAGGTAGAAAGATGTTCACAGTTGGAGAGCCTGCAGTATGCGCAGCGCGCCTACCTTTTCAATGCCAACCAGCGACATTTTCGATGACATATTGCAAACCTGTGACGTGAATTTTGCAGCCCTCTTACAACTACCGCGAACCAGAAGATTATCCGCCCCCTTGTACATGCGCTTGGAGGGGCTAGCTTAACGTCATGACACGCTGTGGAGGGGCACAAGTCCGCTATACGCGAGCTGAATGTACGCTTTTGGAAATGCCATGTGCTGGCGCAGATCGAGGTTGGCGATGGGAATCCTACGAGCGTCATGGCGATGTCATGGTGGGGCAGCACGCGTTTCGCGTTTGGCCGTTGGAGCTAGACATGCAGCTCTGGCCAGACCTTCGCAGACCGAGCGCGTCCCGAACGGCATTCTCTCGGCAGATGGTTATATCGTCGTGTTAAGCTCGGGGCGTTGATACAGAGGAGAAAGTGGAGGTGATGTCGTGTGGAGGTGCGTAAGGGACGCGAAGTCCGCCCTTCAGGGCTTGCACAGATGCATGCAGTTCAACCCGATTGACAAACTGGAGGACAGCGGCTGCGCGAGGGCTTATATGCCTGTGACTGAGGACCATGATGGTGAACGGACGTCCAGATCATGGTCATACGCTGGAAGTGGGAGCAGGTGATATGCATGAGACGGTGCTGAGTAGTTGCCGGCGCAGGTACAGACCTCTCGGATTGCATGCGCAAGCATGAACGCGTTAGCGGGATGTGTGCGATTCGGTCCTGTTCGACAGCTTCCAGGTTCACTCTGTGGTATTGCGGGTAGCTTTGTGCGACACTTGCTACCGCTTCAAGCACGAACGCAGTCGGCGATTCGGTAGAGGAGACGTGTAGGACCAGAAGCTCTTCAATAGTAAGCATTATAGCAACGCGCGAAACAACAAGAAAGCCATATTCAGTACTTGGGCAACCGCGCAGAGCTTGGCAGGCCAAATGTGTCGACGAAACATCACGCTTACACCAAAGACGATGATATAGAAGGCGAGGAGCTGCGGTCTTGGTCCCGCTGCACAGATAGCTTCGAAGCTCGACGCGTTAGCAAGCACCGCGGGACGAGTCGCGACGCGTCGAAAGCAGCACCAGCTAATGAACAGGTCTGCAGCCTACATCAAGACGAGTACATGCCAAGTACGTGACATGACGTGGGCGTAGGCTCTTGGGTGTAAAGTCTCTTGCTTGTATGTGGTAGTACTCTTGAAAGTTGTCGAACATCTTCCTCAATCCAATGCGCAAGGCACTGGAATCAATGAAAATGTAAAGCCGCAGTGGCAGACCAGCAAAAATTGCCCCGCTGAAGCCCCCGAAGGAGATTCATGACAACACCACACCCCGCTGTGCAATGGAGGCGACGTTGTCAGACCATCAAATGCTTGAGCTTGATGAGTCGCAAGAAGGTCTAGAGATTGTTAGCAGGTGTAAACGTAGGGGGGTGGTTGGGGAATACGAACAAGTATTCCGAGCTTGGGAGGGACGGGGGCGGCGCGGTATAAGTAGCCAGACGGTCTTGGCACGCTAGTGGATCACATGACAAGCAAGGGCGGTCCAGAGGCCAGTGCGCGGGGGGACTGCGGGTAAAGGCCGGCAGTGAGATGACCAGCTAGGTCTATGCGCTCGCCTGAGTGATGCTTCCCCATCAACTCACATCTTTCGACATAATCCTGCGTAACGCGGCATATGCAAGTCAGTGCACTTTCACATATGCGCTGAGGATCTGTAAAAGACGCTTGGGTTCGACGAGTCGTGCCAACCGAGCAGAGCCGCGCGGTTTCGTTGCCCCGGAAGTTTTCCAAGCGCCGCCATATGTTTAGCTCGTTGCCTCAAAACCGCACCACCCGGGCGCCTACAGCCTGACGTCTACTGCAAAGTAGAACATTATGAGTAACCCAGGCAAATATTGGGTCGATGCCTGTACTTCGCAAACTCTGTGCAATACGCTTCCGATCAGTCGACATGCGCAACATTATCATCTACGCCGTCGACCTAAGATTGTATCCAGTGTCCTCATTTTCCGATCCTCTTTTCATACAGATGTTGTTGAAGAATCCCATCAAGACTCAAAATCTCGTACATTGCCCAGCCATACCTGAGCTCCGCCTTTCTCGTACCTCTTTCGTAGAGGTCTTCATAGTCGAGCATGCGTATATTGCAAGCCTCATTGGGCGTTCGTCGGCCTCTGTAACTTTCAATGTCCTTTCTATCCAGAAACTTTTCGCAGGGAAGTACTGTCGTGTCCTGGTTTGCGCGGATTGAGCGTATGGCTGGCTGGCTCTATTTGCGAACCAGGTTCGCACACTAAAGGCTCCATCTTCTGTACCACGGCCGTGAGGTGGTGAACGTGATAGAGGAACGGACTGGATGTTAGAACTTGTACGTGAGGAACTTGACTTCGAAAGTGTGAGTGCTGACTCTACTACTTTGGTGACGTCCAAGCGCGCAGATAATTTGAGACGGACAGCGAGTCTATGGCAGTGAGGTATGGCATGAGTAGATTCGCCTCTAGTAGTATACAAATATCACAGTGAAGCAATGCTAGATGTAGCGATAGCCGATTCCGCACGCGACTGGTAAAAGAGCTCAGGAGATACACTTCAGGTGTATAATAGAGCAACAGGTGAGAGGGCTCAAGGCATATATGGAAGGACCATAATTCCTGAGTATATCAATATTTAAACGATGTCTAATGTTTTTGGAAAGCAGGCTTGATGTGTGGTATACTTCGCCATGCCTAATGCTGGTTCTGCATAGGATGCGACATACGTAATACCTTCCAATGTCTGATATCTGGCAGGCTGTTGGACCACACAAACGCCATTGGAGAAGTCTTTACTCTCACCTAGTAGAATGGTATGCAGTACATACAGCGTGCGATGAGACCCGAATCACGTCGGTGTGGTACCGGGACCATGAGGAATCGCGCTAAAGCCCCCGATGCCACATGGAAGATACCTAGGTATCCACTTGTATAAGGTGAAGGTGAGAGCGGGATCCTGACTACTAACTCTACACTCCTCCATCTACACAACAAATCAATACTTTAAACACTACCAGAACCACCAATACCTAGGTATCAGTTCGCTTCAACATCACCATGACAACACCCAACCTTCCTCCCGCGTGGCTTGTACATGTGACTACTTTCCTTCAGTCCGCCGAAGTTCAGGCCAAGGTGGCCCGCCTCCGCGCAGAGACCCGCGAACTGTACGCCGAGATAGGCAGGTTCGCAGCCATCAGTGAGTACAATTCTGTCGCAGTTGCAGTAACAAGTGTAATGAATTTGGAGCTAACTGGTCATCTAGACGGGCCCTTCATCGCAGCGGGCGGTGATCCACATAAGCTCCCAAACCCATGGTACCTCACACCTGCGCGCCTAGACAGCATCTTACGCCTCTATTACGGACTGAAGCCCCACGACCCCTCTGTCGCGGCCATCTCCTTCGGTGAGTACTTTGGGAGCGTCAACGAAGTCGCCAACGGAGTACCAATCGGCATCGTCGTCAATGAATTCACCATCTATTCTCGGGCCGCCAACCAGGATGAGGTCATCCAGATGATCAAGTGCATCAATGACTCCGAGTCCTTCGGTGAAGGTGGCACAGGTCTCCCCGTTCACAGCGAGGAAGAGCTCAAGTTCAACATGATCTGGAAACTTACCCGTTAGAGGGGTGGACATCTGCATACCAAGATCCGAGGAAACTTTCCTCGAGCTCAGGGACGGAGTAGCAGATGAGACCTGGAAATACCTGGGTGAGCATGAACGAAGATGGATATGGATATGGCCATGGTTCACGGTAGATTAGGGACAGAATGCCAATTTCTCTCTGATCAACAAAACAATACCTTGACAAAGTTACGCGTGCAGACTGATCTTGATACACACCGTAGAAGCCTCTTCCCTTGTATGCCCATTTATACGCACGATCATGCCTTATATAAGGAAGGTCTAGAACAGGTCTGCAGACTACACGGGCTTATAAAGAAGCAAAGTAGCAGACTTCGTGGTAACGTAGGCTCTACGGTGTTTAGCTTTCTCGTTAGTTGTGGCGAGTCCTCCATGAGCGCAACTTCGGAAGGCTAGGACTTGGTGTCGTTGACTTGCCAGGGCTACCACTTTACTAATTTAACTTCGAATTTTGCAAGCAAGGAGCAGAAATGGATGAATAGATAGCTAAGTGTAACCAAAACCACTTTATGCGCAGCTCGTCTAGACGCCTACAACGATTCAAGTGGGCTACATTCAGACACTTATAATAGCTCGTGTATGACTTCAAGGGCGGGCAGTCTGTTAGGATCTCGCACAAAAACTTCATGTAGTTTCCAGAGCCATGTTTCGTCACTAATAACTCATTTGTGAGAAACTTTGTATACCTCAAACCGATTACAAAAGTTCGACTTCTCCATCAGCTACTGTCTTTTAGTCTCTACAGGTATGTTTTGAAACTGAAGCGTCTCCATGACGCGAGCTACTCCTGGGAGGAATATTAGGGAGATTAACATGTATTAGCGGTGCGCAACGGTATGTAGCTGGAGACGCTCAGGTCAATCTTCGTGACGACGAGCCAAATGCTACAATATCCATTGGGCGCCTTCTGAGCGTTGTCTCGTAACAGTATTTTAAGATTTCCGTCAATTATAGCTCGCGAAGCCTCTCTCACGATCAAGTATAGAAAGATAGGTTAACTCGGTTTTGTAGCCTTAGCGTATGTGGTCGTTGTCTTCGAGTCCTGGGAATGTTAGAACCTGCTTTAGTTTGAATCAATGAATGGAACTTTCCTGAGAGGTTGATACGCCCCACGCCATTTTGAAGACCAAGCGACGACACAGCGCACCAATAAGGTGTAGTCCCCGGCATGATACGGGGACACGAGTCAGCCGCAAGTCCAGTCTTTATAATGTCCAACTTAGCGGTGATAGCCTCTTCTTCCGCGATTTGCTCTTGTTCTTCCAATGCTACCCGGTCCGTATGTTTTCTACGTTAGAACATAGCGGTATAACCGCACTAGGCGCTTTATACTCAGAGGCCCATTAAGCTTGCCCTCTAGGACGCAGAGTACTAAGATTGTGTATAATCATCGCTCGTTGTAGGATGATCGTGACGGTCCAAGGAGGCTACGCGCACGGGGTTGCCGAGGTCCCGCGGTCTGCAAGGATAAATCGCTTGGCGTCGCGTTCAGCAACATCACCCACTATATGCCCTCGAGACGTCGCATACCCTTGACGCGCTGGTTGCGCCTTCTTATTTCCTGCTCTCTTTCATGTCTGGCGCAACGGTATACTGTCAATCACGGCGCCATAGCAGCCCAGCCTTGCGCCCACTAAGGGTAGTTACCACTTAGGCATCACCACCAACCCCCTTCTCACACCATCTGTTCGATAAGCGGAACCGCTCATTACTTGCGATGATGCATTCAATCAGACATGGTGCTAATTCGCTGGGGAATGTAGAACACTACGCTGCTGGGTACGCCGTCATGGCCACTTCAGACAGACCACCTACACATACCTCATTACAGAGACCCTTAACGGAAGCCGCGCATCAACTTGGTTCGAGTCATCGCTACCGCTTTTAGATATGACGCACACCTCCGACATTCCACTTTCCCTTATCCAATCCTTGGGATGCCCTTGCCGCATGAACCACGCAGCACAAGTCAACAGTCGTTTCTGGCCTGATTCGCCCCGTACGTCAGCAAAGCCTCCACCAATTCCCAGCGTCCGTCCTGCAGCTGTGCCACGGTTCTACAAGCGTCTGCCCCACTACAGCACACAATGTCCAAGTACAAAAGGCCTTCCTCGATAAACTTTTCCTTTCGCCCTAAGTACACACCAAGAACGAGATCGCTGGATCTTCCATTGTTTTACGCTACCCAAAACCAAGAATTCACAAGCTCAAAGCCAAATCGACTGCCGAACTCCACCTCCACTTTTCGTACGCGAGACACCAAAGATGGACATTAGATGGACCTACCGTGTCGGCGCGTTAACCTTACCTTCCTTCGATAATATAGGAGCCCAATGAATACCAGAGTGGAGCGACGGCGTATCTCGACAAAGCGTAGCCCGCATTCTTCACGATGCCCAGGTCAGGGTTCTTGGCTACGGCCTCGTAAAGCGCGTCCGACCCGGCCAGACCCCATCCCTGACGCCTCGCACGCTACTAGTCACCTCGGACGTTTCAGTGGATGGACAATACTCGGCCTGGAAGGTCGCGGTGAGTGATCTCAGATTACTCTTCGACAAGGCCAATCGCGAGGACATTACGGTTGAACTTACAGACATCAGAACAGCAGACGGAGTACCCTCAGCGCCGCTCACAGATTGCGCGCCAGAGCTTGTCGCAGCATGGGAGTGCTACCGGCCAGCTCTCCTTGAAGATATCCAGGAACGACAGTGGCTCACCGCCGACATCGTCCTCCGTGAAATCGGAGAATTGCAACCCATACGCGCGCCTACTCTCCTCATCACCGCACAAGATGCCGACTCAGCCATATGGTGGGACAGAATCCTACCTCATATACGTCAACTACTCCCCCAGACAATGGAGGTCGATCTCCTTTACGCACCACACCTGGCCATGCAGACATCTGGAGACGAGGAAGAAGCAGAGGAACCCCGTGTACGCCCTGCCATATATTCGACGATGCAGGACTACGACGCCATCGTAGAGATGGGAGCGAGTATCGGCGTAGAGCAGCCGGACAACAGCGGAACAGTCGGCGCTGTCCTCGTACTCAAGGATGCGGCGGGAAATGAGACGAATTGCGCCTTGACCAACCACCACGTCGTCGCAACACACGATCCAACGAGTGTCATCAACCGCGGTATGTCTATCGGGGAGCACCTAGGTGTCAACCATGAGATCTCGCAATTAGGTCTAGTCAAGATCAAAGCCCCATCCAACCCAGATCACACGAGGTTCCTCAAATGCAAAGCAATGGATAAATACGAACATGACCAAGATGTCGCAAGTTTCGATAATCCATACCACCCTGAATACGCTCGGGCGCAAAGCAGGGCTGCGGCGACTAACAGAGACTGCCAAGTCCTAGACGCCGACCCGAATCGTCTTCTAGGTACGGTGATCGCATCGTCGGGCTATCGTGTGCGTGAGAACGACGACTACACCTCCGCTGAAGTACAAACACTCTCCACTGTGGATAACGTGCTGGACGACGCCTTCAAGAGGAAGGACGGTACATTCCCCCCGAGCCTGGCCGACCAGATTGCTGGTCGCACCCTGAAATTCGCGCTCGACTGGGCACTGATCAAGGTCGCCACAGGCCGGACAATGAGCGACCGTGTTCCCATTGGTGGCGCAGGCATCAAAGTGCCCCAAGGAAAAGGCTGAAGAGGTCTGCAGCCTACATTGAGATAAAAACACGCAAAGTGGGTAGCCCAACATCAACGTAGGCGCCAGGGTGTTTGGTTTCCCCCTTCAATGAAATGCGAATATGCGCCCGTATCGAGATTTACATTGTCGCATAGACCGAGTTCGCGCATATATCCAAGCAAATGGCATGTTTGATATTCGGTCGGAACTTTACGTGGCTACTCTGTACTATATTGTGGGGCAAGCTAACGAGGTCCATGTTCACGGGGGATGGTGGTGATAAAGACTTCAGTCTGTTCGAGACTAGTCAAGACGCGAGCGCAGTAACGTGAGGATCTCCGAAAGATGAAAGACTCCGCGTTTTGGAACCAGAGAAGAAGCAGACAGTGAACTTTCATCTTCTCTGACGCGTAAGACCATGGCGCGAGGAGGCATTCGATGTGAGTTTCGAAAAGAAACTGAAAACTGATGATGTTGTGAGGTCCTCTTGGCTGCAGCATGAAGTCTGAGATGCCAGATTTCGAATCCTTTGTATGCGTTACTTGGTATTTTGTTTTTGACAACCGCAATGCTTTCAGAGACCGAAAAGAACATGGCAAGTGTTGTTGTAGTTTTGGTAGACCGGAAAGAACATGGAGATCTTACCTTTTGCTTTTTGGTAGACAGGAGATCTCAGTCGTGTTCTGGTTTAAGGATCTGGTAAGAGCCCAAACATAGCGAGCGTTGCTTGCACTTTTGATGGAGTGTAGAGCTGAATCCAGACATGCGCTGTGAATATTTTGATTTTGGCGAGGAATAAAAGATGCAAAGCACCAGATCATGTTTCCTTCATGCTTTGATCTTGCTGGAAAAGACCGGTCTGGGAGCCCACATGAGCCAGATGATTGACGATTTTGATGGGAAACAAGACCCGGGCAGAGACATGTATCGTTGCAGCGAAAATTTTGATTTTTGGAAAAGATCGGGTTGGAAGCCCACATGAGCATAATAGTTGACGATTTTGGCGAGAAAAAGACTGGACAGGAAGTCCACATGATCTTGGTGTTCCGAACTTTTGGCGAAACAGAAGACAGGCACACATGGGTGAGAACCCAAGGTTTTTTGATTTCAGGGAAAGTATTGTAGGAGAAAAGAGGATGGATGAGCAAAGCCAGTTATATAGCCGTGCTAGCTCTCCTAAAATTCACGTGTTGCACTGACATTTGCATGTGCGAGGAGAGGAGGAAGGTAATGATGTACTGACATGCGACGGGTATATTTCATTTCGACTCTCCAGGCACTTTCACGAGCGCATCCCCAACATGAGTTCTCCATATGCTTTTGTAGCTTCCAATTTGCGCCGTTCCCATTTGACTCCAAAGTATGCTATACAATCCATCTATCCGTCAAGCACTCCGCTCTCCTTGAGTGAACGGAATAGTTCCGGTTCCAAGAACTTGCTAATTGTGACATCCTCCGCGAGACCCTTCCTCCTCCTTGTCTTGAGCACGAAATCGCGTGCGAGTTGTTGTGCGGTTGCGGGTTCGAGCGGTCGGGTTGTGATGTCTTTGTCGAGAGGGTCGCCGGGGACGATGGACCAGCGGTCGAAGACGAGGGAGAGGGAGACTTGGCCTTGTGTGTGGATCTATGGGAAGTTAGTATATGCGCTAGGTGATGGGGGTGATTGTAGGAGGTGTACGTACCCTGAGATCGGTCTCGAAACCGAAAGAATCGATGACCGGGATAAGACCACGCACGTTGTACAGCGGTGTGCCCGCAATGGGTCCATCCTGCAGAACGTGTCCTCTCCTTCGTGCGAGGACTGTGTACAAGCTGCTCTTGGTGTCTGCAGGGCCGACCATGCTGCACGAGTACACCGGCTCCATGAGCCTGGGACTCGCCATCAGGAAACTTGAGTAGCACGCTCGTCGACTGGTGGGAATGATCTGACCACCTCCGCGGAAGATGGCTTCTGGCGCAAGTTCGACATCGGTGATACGGAACTTCGTGTTGCGAATGGGCTCTTCGCAGAGTGGGCCTTCTCGAGTAGCCCAGCTGAAACCTTGTCGAAGCGTATCGCGCACCGTTCGCAGAGTCTTGCCGTCGACTTCTGAGGGAAGTGTGTCGTTTTGTAGGATATTGGGGCCCATGTCATCAGGTCCGAAAGCCCAGATGTTGCGCGACGCAAGCAAGTCGTATCCGTAGTTCTCTTCGAAGAACTTTCCAACGACTCTGACGGGATCCTTGATGTTGACCTTGCCAGCTTCAATGTCTTCCGCGATACCTGGATCGAGCGGCTCAGCAATCATCGTGAGCTTGTTCTTCTTGTTCGGTGTAAGCGCGTAGCACTTGATGGCGGACATCTCAACGACCGTCTCGCAGAATCTTGTGACGGGATCTGACACCTTGATCTCCATGTCGGCGTATAACCGTCGCAGATCGTGCAGAACACAGTCCATGTATAGTTCGCCCGTGCCGAGAACAACGTGCTCTCCTGACTCCTCGACCTTGGTTGTGATGAGCGGGTATGACTTGTTGATCTTGCGCAGACCGTCAAGCATCTTCGGTAGTTCGGAGGGGTTTATCGGTTCGACGGCGACCTTGAAAACGGATTCAAAGAAGTGGCGGATGGGTCGGAAAATGTAGGCGTCTTCGTCTTCGGGGAGTTTGGTAGCCACAATGGTCGCCGTCTTGACTATCGAATTGTCGACACCACCGAGCAGCACCCAGTTACCTGCCGGAACACCGCTGACGGGGATGTTGTATCTTGACTGCGCTATCCACGTGTCTGTTACGGTCGCAACAACCATATCTTCCTCATCTTCGATCGTGTAGCCTTCACCAAGAACGCGCACCGATTGCGGCGAAGTTGCAGTACCGCTCATCACTCGGCCTAGTGCGGTAAACGATTTTGCATCTGTCGCGTTGAACAGCTTCGTAACGTGTATGACTAGGGGTCCGTTCTGGTCGCACTTCTGCATGGCTTCCGCGGTCTTCGTATCCAGAGGTCCAGTGTAGTGTCTTTGCAGCAGCCGTTGCGCACCTTCTTCGGGCGAAGGAACATGTTGGGTGATCATGTCGACGAAACCAAGAGATGGGCCGAAGTACTGCTGGCATACAAGGCGCATCAGCTCCTTTGCGTCGGTCTTGTATTCCGATGGCTTCAGTCGGATGCCCAAAGTGTCGAGCGTGTCCTTGAGGTCATCCGGGCTCTGGCTTAGTGTGTGCGAGTAGATCTTGTAGACAGGCTCCAAGATCCAGTGTACGAAAGACCGTTGTGAGCCCTCCTCTTGCCGCTTGCGACTGAACTTGCGGCTTCCAGGGTTGTAGAAGATGTCGCCCCAAAGACGCATGGCGAATTTATCGATATCCAGACCCTTCATCGGAACGCCGAAACCTGGGAGTTTCGATGGACCGGGGTAAAAGTCGGAGTACATCTTCGCGAAGGACTGAATGGTGAAGCACCATCGCATGCTGGAGCAAGCAAAAGCGACGTTGCCTTTCTCAGGGCTTACACGTCTGCTCTCGCCGCGGCCGGGGATGGTGTTCTCGATGATAGTGTTGACCTCCTCGATTACGTGCTTAATCTTGAAGTATGCGTCGCTGGGCGGCAGCTTCAGCTCGAGGATCAAGCGGTCCATCTTATTGACCACAAGTGTTAGAGGCAGATCTTCCAGCACCGCGTGCTTTATGATCTGCTCCGTATTCACTTGCACGCCTTCAACCACATCCACCACCAAGACCACTCCGTCGACCAGGCGCAACGAGGCGGCGACTTCATCGGCGAAGTTTACGTGTCCGGGGGTATCGAGGATGTTGAAGAGATGCGACTTCAGCTTCGTGTTCTGGAGGACAAGGCTCATGGGCGCAGCCTTGATGGAGAGGCCTCGTTCGCGCTCGAGCACGTGTACGTCGGTGTATCGCAGCTGCTCCTCCCGCTTCTTGCCCCTCTTGTAGTCCAGACGATCTTGGATGTCGTGTGTCTCCATGACCAACATATCCATAAAGGCAGTCTTTCCGTGGTGCAGATGTCCAGCTATGGCGATATTCCGTATCTGGTCGGGGAAGTTCATCAAATCCGTCAAGAGCTCTCTCGAGTGATGCACCGGAGGCAGATCTGTCTCTTGAATCGTGAACTTCTTCTGCACTACCGGCGCAATAATAGGCTGCGCCAGCGACTGCGTGTCTTCCTCGTGCACCAATACTTCGACATCGGGGCCGTATACGTCGGACGCAGAAGGGTAGTACTGCTTGTCTTCGTGGAGAATCACGGCATTGGATGGCCCCTCGTCCACCTCCATAAGCTGCTGGTCGTTCGTCTCAGCTTCCTCCTCATCGTCGAGGACATAGGCGTCGGCTGCCTGGCCGGTGCTCTGGACATCGTCGTCGGACTCGGCCTCGCCAATAAAATTTCCGAACCTGTCAAAAGTCAGTCGCGTAACATATTTGGAGAGAATGGGCGCACTCACTCGTCGTATAGGTCATCCATGGCGGCGGTGGGTGTGGGTATATGCGCGGTGGTGATGCGCGTCGAGCTTGAAGCTGTCGCAAAAGTTCAGACGTGGTTCCGCGGCCTAGCGCTAGGCGGTGAGGGCGGAGGTCGTGCCTGACCAATGGGGCTTCGAGGCGACTCCTGCAGGGCCAGCAGGCGCCATCCGTTGTCGCGCAAGGCTAAACTCCAAAAAGATCCATCGGGGTATATTTGTTGATCGGGCCATTTGCTCAGAGGCACCTTATATCTGCTCTCTGCACCTTCACTCCGCTTTCCTGCATACCCAAGATACCCATCATGTCGTCCCTTCCCCCAGTTTACATCGTCTCGGCCGCCCGTACGCCTACGGGCATGTTCTTGGGGTATGTTCCCTGGTACTAGAGAAGAGGGGCACCGCCGACTCACGCGACAACAGCTCCCTCTCGAGCCTGAGTGCTGTCCAGCTGGGCTCTCACGCCATCAAGGGTATGCTAGTTTGCTGCAATTGGAACATGAACTTATTCTAACAACTCCTGTAGCTGCCGTTGAGCGCGCCGGCATCAAGCCCACCGATGTCGAGGAAGTCTTCGTTGGCAATGTTCTCTCCGCAAAGTATGTACAACACCCAAACATGCCGAAACTCCAGTAGAACTCTACTGACAAACCTCAGCCTCGGCCAGAACCCTGCCCGCCAGTGTGCCATTGGCGCTGGCCTCCCCGAGTCGACCGTCGCAACCACCATCAACAAGGTGTGCGCCTCCTCCATCAAGGCCCTCATTGTCGGCGCCCAGACCATCATAACTGGCAATGCCGATATCGTCGTCGCAGCGGGAACCGAGAGCATGTCCAACACCCCCCACTACCTCCCCAACCTGAGGACCGGCGCCAAGTTCGGAGACCAGCCCCTGGTCGACGGTGTGCTGAAGGATGGTCTGACCGACGCATACAAGAAGGAGCACATGGGTCTGCAGGGAGAGGAGTGCGCAGACGACCACGGCTTCTCCCGCGAGGACCAGGACGACTACTGCATCCGCTCCTACAAGAAGGCCAACGCCGCACACGAGGCCGGCTGGTTCAAGGAGGAGATCGCTCCCATTGAGGTTACCGTTGGACGCGGCAAGCCTGCGGTCGTCGTCGACCGCGACGATGAGCCCAAGAACGTAAGTCGCGACCCTGGCAGTGTTCACTAATCGACACTTTCTTACTTATTAATCACAGTTCAACGAGTCCAAGACGCGCACACTGAGGCCCTCTTTCAAGCCCGGAAACGGAACCGTCACCGCTGCCAACGCTTCACCGCTCTCCGATGGCGCTGCTGCTCTTGTTCTTGCCTCTGAAGAGGCTGTCAAGAAGCACGGCCTCAAGCCCATTGCTAAGATCCTCGGCTGGGGTGACGCTGAGCAGAACCCCTCCAAGTTCACCACCGCCCCTGCGCTCGCCATGCCCAAGGCTCTGAAGCACGCCAAGGTAGAGCTCTCTGCTGTCGATGCCTTTGAGATCAACGAGGCCTTCAGTGTCGTTGCGCTCGCCAACATGAAGATCCTTGGTATCCCAGAGGACAAGGTCAACCTGCACGGTGGTGCTGTCGCGCTCGGCCACGCGCTCGGTGCCTCCGGTGCCAGGATCACAACTACACTGCTCGGTGTGCTAAGGGAGAAGAAGGGCAAGATTGGCTGTGCCGGCATCTGCAACGGTGGTGGTGGCGCCTCTGCCATTGTTGTCGAGTCGATGCAGTAGATGTGCCGTCCCGTTAATGAAGACACGTAATGCTAGATATGAATGAAGTAATCGTCTATACTTGGGCTGGATCTTTGCGCCCAGATGCACTGTTGCGTGAGCCAGATAGTAAACATGAGCCTTGTTTAGTTATCAAGATGATCAACGATCTCACCCACTATAACCTCTTCTGTATTTTCTGTTGCATGTAAGTTGGCATGTCCCAGCCATCGCGACGACAATACACCCACCTGCAAAAAGCACTTATTTGTACTCGAGTTGTGTAGATCGACTTTCCGATTCATTGGTTGAACGGTCGGTTTCAGGGGGGTGGAGCGCCAGCACTGGCCGCGCTCGCTTCCAGAAGCGCTAAATCCGGCGCGTGGCATTGGCCAGCAGTCGCTCTCCTTCATCCCAACCCCCGATCACCTCACGTTTCAACGCGTCGACGACGAATCACATGCTGATAAGCATGGCAAATGCCTCAGGCAATCGATAATAACCGTAGGCCCCGCCACGTATCCACCGGGATGTGCGCTTCTCGCTGTTTCAAGCGCCTCTCCCCGTTCACCAACGGACCATCCGTCCTATTTCTCATGAAACGGCGCACGTTTGGTTAAACATCCGGGCAGCCTTGCTCAGCGCTATTGAACCCCCATCTTGTGTACCTGACTGGTTCCTGCAGGTCCCCCTCAATGTTGCTAACCGGAGATAAACTCGGTCCGTCTATAACTCCCCTCTTGTTGAAACGGAGCCCGATGTGCCTAACGGGAGATGTACACTCTCCCGCGCTCGTCTATCCTCTAGACGAAGCCGTTGGGGCGAATCGGTGGCTGCTATGTCAGGGTCGTTGCCACGCCTCCGTTTTAGGCCTGTGTATATAGGCAGGCCGTCCCTTTCCGACCATCTGGTGCCTCGTTACATCGCCAAACTATACTGTCGTCTTTTCCGTTCTTGTGCCTTTTTTCTTCACGCGTCTAGTACGCAGTCACTCATTACTATTCTTATCTTTCGGCGTCTCGACGATGCGTTTCTCCACACTCACTTCGGCTGCGGCCTTTTTCCAACTGAGCATAGCTGGCTATACTCTCCAAGATGACTACATGACCGACTTTTACGGGGCCTTTGACTTCTTCACTGATGCCGATCCGACAGAGGGCTTCGTCAAGTACGTTGACGAGGCTACGGCGAGGCAGACGAACCTCATCAACTCGTCTTCTTCAGCGATTTCCTGGGGCGTGGACACACAGAACCAGACCCCTGAGGGAAGGCCCAGTGTCCGTATCCAGAGCAAGAAGACCTACGACAGTGGGCTGATTGTGCTGGATGTTGCCCACATGCCATTCGGCTGTGGTACATGGCCAGCGTAAGTAGACTTCCATCCATCGAAAGTCATGTTGCTTACACATTGATAGATTCTGGACGACTGGCCCCAACTGGCCAAAGAATGGCGAGATCGACATCATCGAAGGCGTGAACGACCAGACGAACAACGGCATGACCCTCCACACTGGCCCCGGCTGCCAGATTGGTGAAGACACCACCCAGTTCGCTGGCTCAGTGACCACAGGAAACTGTGATGTCGCTGCCGAGGATCAGTCGAAGAACGCCGGATGCTCCATCGAACACCCATCGACCAAGAGCTACGGTGCAGGCTTGAACGAGGGTGGTGGCGGTGTCTACGCGACACAATGGACCGCCGATGCCATCAGCGTTTACTTCTTTCCTCGCGACTCCATCCCGGAAGACGTCCTCGGTGACAGCCCAGACCCAAGCGGCTGGGGCAAGCCAGCTGCCAAGTTCGCCGGCGCCTGCGACATCGAGAGCACATTCAAGCAGCAGCAGATCGTATTCGACACTACATTCTGTGGACAATGGGCGGGCAGCAGCAGTGTTTGGAACAAGAGCTCCTGCAGCAAGAAGGCAGACACATGCGAAGAATGGGTCAAGAACAACCCCGAGGCTTTCACAGAGGCGTACTGGACGATCAACTCCTTGAAGGTGTACCAAGATAATGGTTACGCCGCTGTTCCTCAGCCCTCTTCGGTGCCTGAGCAGAGCAGTGCTGCCTATGGTTCTGCGCCTGTCCCATCGGAGACACCTGCTGCGCCTTCTGGCATTCCCGAGCCCTCCGAATACCCTGCAGTTCCTCCGCTCATCACCGCCTCTGTATCCGGCATCTTCGCACCAATCCCGACGAGCGAGACCCTCTCCTCCAACGCCCCAGTCGCATCACCTCCTGCCGACGATGCCTCCCCCAGCGTACCCGCCGAGACCCCGAGCCCCATCGCCGCACCAACCACGCAGATCAATGCTCCGGCTCCAGCTCCAGCTCCGACCGGCCCCATGTCTGGTTTCCAATGGCCCTCTGGTGGCGCAGATAGCGGCAACAAACCCAAGCCATCGACAACACCCTCTGCCTCGCTTCCTGAGGGCACTAGCACGGCAATTGAAAACTCGAGTGGCGCTGCCGCCGCTCCCAGCACAGCGCAAAGCGTCGCTCAACCTTCCGATGTACCTGCCGCATCACAGTCATACGCTGCGCCTGGAGTACCTGCTCCAGCGCCCACTGTATCCCAAGCACCTGCTGCGCCCGAGGTGCCCGCCCCAGCGCCCACCAACGTTGAAAAAGCACCTCCAGCCGACCCAGCTGTTCCCGTCGTCACAGACACTGTCGAAGCTATTCGTACAGTAGTTCAGACGATCTACCATACCGTCACCGCTCCCGCCCCTGCGCCTGCGGCACCAACGCCAGCTCCTCCTGCTGCTCCTCCTGCCGCAAAGGGACGCATGGCAAGACACATTAGGGAGCACAGGCAGAGGCTCACAAGGCACCACGCCAGGCACTGAGCGGTGCATGACGAATCATGGAATGGTTGGACAAGTCACACTGGTTGCTGGCTTGGTGGGTGGAAACGGCGCACATATACCCCTGGGTTTCTTTGTACATATCTTTTAGACATTGGCAGCAATTCATTCGGATGTGATCTGCATATACATCGTCTTTCGTGGTGCCAGCTCGTGATGTGTTGATCTACCACATAGAAACAAGTACTATGCTAGATGTCTACGTTCGTAATGATCTTTGTATATCCCTTTTTCTATGCGAATGCTTTCACCTTTTTGGGTTTCGATCTTCCGATGGACAGCTTACTAACATTATGTCTTTTCGCTACCAACCTTGAGAAAGAAGTCAAAGAACACCCCCCTCGCGTTGGCAGCACGGTTAAGGGGTAGCAAAAAGCAATGCTGCCTACACGCCATGTGTTCTTGTTACGCGTAGCGAGAAGAACGAAAGCATAGCGAGCGAAAGAATAAAACCAAGCTGTGAACCACAGCCAGGAACACTCACCCCTAGTGCTCCTTCCTTTCTCCGGCGGAAGCAAAGAAAATGGCAAAAAGAATGTGGACGCTGTGGGAATTGAACCCACGACCTTTCACAAGTACGCAGAAGAATGCGAAGCGACTGAGGTTGAATGTTAGGGGAGGAGCTGAGTAAAGGTGCGTTGGGGGAAGTCTTACAAATCATACCCCTAGACTTTGGGATGTTAGTGGGTTGTAGAGGGTGATTGGGGTGTTGTGGCAGCTTACCCAAGCGCCCGTATTAGGTAATCGATGAAGAATTTCTCAATGACAATGGTTACAATGTCACAATAATTCAATATTTGGTATTCGGATGCCAGGCGCGAGTAATGGATGGCGTGAGCGAGACCATGGTCGAGGTGGGGGTGAGGGGCAGATTTTGGAAGGTGGGGTAAGGTTGAGGATAGACCTACAACCATAGCCATCGCATATCTATACATATTACACCTTGGTCTATCTACAAAATCGCTACTCATAATCACTACCTAGGTAGGAGAGACTTGAAATCCATAAAGCACACGAGCAATACCTCACTCCGCCAGACGATTGATTAACATAAACAAATCGGCGTGTTGTACTCCTTCGACTTCAAAGCCTGTTGACCCTTCTCATCCAAATGGTTAGACAACTTTGTTATGCCAATACGCCTAAACATGGGATACTGCGTTGTCGGCGCAGGATCTTCCGAGCCTGGATCACTACTCTCGGTTTTGAAATCTGTCTTTCCTTCGTACTTGAGCAACAAGCAGTACAAGTAACGAAATGGCTTTCGTACGGTTCGCTCTCCATACGCGACGGGCATGCAGTATAGTTTTGCGTCATCGCGGAAGATATCGACGTCAGACTCTGGGGCGTCGAGATACAGGTTCGCGTGCTCGAGAGGACGCGCAGCGCTGGTATTCGGTTCGAAGACTTCAGGTCCGGATTGTTCTTGCTTCAACCGCCAGCTGTACGGAACTCTAAGGGGCGGGTGAAGCCTACGCAGCTCAATAGCTCTGAGATAGCGCGGTTGAAGCAACAACATTCCCTGGTCGACCATACCATACTCGTTGTCTGCATCCGAGAGGATGACATGGTGGTCAAGTACTTCGAGCATTAGCTCTTGCTCTGGATTCGAGTCTTCCCTATGATCTTGAGCCCGGGTATTCCTTCTGCCTACTCTTGCAGCCCCGTAGTCTGTAACGTCGGGATAGGTGATCCCGTGAGGAGTGTCGATTGATGCCCATGAGAATGAAGGCGCTCGAGTTGCGTCGCGGCGTCCAGGGTTCTCGAACACACCATCTCGATAGAGCTCATTCACCTGCCAAAGAAGCTGGCTTTCTATATTGTTTTTCCAGAGGCCAGCAATGTACGTGATTGGTTCTGTAAACAGCTCCTTGCCTTCACTGAAGCGTCTCGCGATTCCGGAAAGCGCTATGAGTTTGTCGCCTGATACTGTGAGTTGCGTTTTGGAATAAACCTCTACAACATGCTTCCACAATTCGTAGATGTAGAGATCACTCATGCCTTCATCGGGGTCCGGAAGACCCTGAAGGCGATTGCGTCGCAATTCCTTTCCAGCCTTCGCGGTTAGATCTTTGAAGCGACCTTCGTCCACCATTGTTCCTTGCCTAGCTCTCGTGGTTAAATTCATCTCAGGATGACCCTCGGCATCTTCAAACTCTGCACACTCCCAAGCAATTTGATCTCGACAAAAGTGCAACACTCGCGGTGCCATGAGACGTTCTTGAAAGACCCAGCCTCTGCGGTTGACGGGTGCTTCCTCGACGAGTTCATTCCAGAAGGATAGATCAATGATGGTGCACCTTATCAGCTGATCTTCCTCCATACTTGCGGGTCTCACCGACCCGAAGAGATTCGTTCCAGTATAGTTGACGTTTATCTCGTCTTCCCAGAGATACTCGGGCCGCCGGCTGAAGAACAAGCCCTGATCTCCATCGGTGGCAGCAGTAGCGGAAATATTGAGAAAAGATCCTCGATAGATCTGGTCCATTTGTCGACTCTGCTCTAGCCAATCACTAAGAGACCCCTTCGATCTGCTGCTGTAGTTCTCAGTCGGCTGTATTATGCACATCGAATCAATCCAGATGAACCCCACTTTGTCTAGACGAGAAGCAAAGAGGATAGCGTCTCGGAAGGTTTTCGGCAACTCTCGCAGCTCGATACCGTCTCGTTTGAAACGTTCCTCAGTGGTGTGATCCAGCCTAAGCTGTCCCTGGACACTTTTGGGCTTTCCCCAGCAATGGCTCAGCGTAACGTACCGATAATCCTCCGTTTCGACGCGACGCTTCTTCGCCCTGTCGTTATACCAGAACTCCATCAACAGTTTGGTTGGGATGCCTGGGATGTGCCTGAATCCGCTGGTTTCCCTCAAATATACCTTCTTCCGCTCCACGTCGCCATGTTCGGACATGATTGTCAGACTGTCTATCTCTTTGATGCCGTTGGCACTACGGAGCTCTCCAATATCCAATAGGCGCTTGGGGTAGACCTTCTCGCCAGAGGCTTCTCGGAAGTTTGCACATTTGCATTGTTTCATCCAACCCTGTGCTACCCCGAACACCTCCTCTGAAGATGTATCTAACGATCTTGGTGTTCGCAGCCGACGGTTCTCAGGTTCTGTATATGTGCTTAGAAAACGTCTTGTAGTCGGTACTACTAGGTAACGTACTGGTCTCCTTCAGCAAATATATACGATTGTGAGATCCGTTGAGGTCGAAGTCGAGGCTGTATCTGACCTCTCCCAACCTATCGGGGAGTAGTCTCTTCAGGCTAGCTTTGATCGATATGGACTGATCTTCGAGAAGATCCATATCGTGCCGAAGTACCTTCGCTAGCGACATGCATATCGAACAATCAGCCTCTCTTGATTTGCGAAGCGACGCTGTGGTTTTGTGATGCTTGAATGTCAGATCGTGAGTACCTGCCCATAACTCCCCGCTTCCGCCCCTTAGCATTCCCACACATACTTGGCAAAGCATATCGTTAGGGTAAGGCTGAAATCGGTGTTGGCCTGGCCTCGTTTGATGGCAAGGGGCTGTGCTTAGCCTAATTGCTGTTATAGAGCGGAAAGAGGACTGCGCCCGATCAGTACGTTATGAGAATCGAGAAGAGAAAACAGCGACTTTGAAGAGGAGGTGCGAGCGAGCTAAGTCATACGGTAGCGCAGACACCATGCGCGATGAGTCTACAGCACGCAGGAGGCGAGGCTCGAGCGCCTCGCATCATGCTGGCCCGCCCTCGTCTCAGCTGCGGGTGCGAGCTGCAGCGGTACTGATGGTAGGCGCCAATACTGCCATCACATAGGCTGGTGGCTGCATCCCTGATAAATCGTTGGCTGTGGGTGCGGGATGAACGGTTGTCTCTATGTCGACGCTGGGGCGCAAAGAAGTTGCCCGACCCTGCACCGGTGTGCTTGGTCACTCCTGCCTAAGGCGCCACGCGACGTCTCGAGTGCTGAGAGCTTGATGCTGCTGCGCCCCGCCAGGCTTCAGCTGGACATCCGCCCCACCCGCTTCCACTACCCAAGGCCTTCACGCAAGGCTCCAGCACGATACAAACATTACAGAAAGTCAGTTCTCGTTGCGTCCACCAATATTCGAATCGTTTACTCGTTGCGCATCATCTCAAACACCGGGTAAAGATGCCCTCCACTTTCAAACTGTCAGCCTGGAAGGACATACCTGTCACAGTCGCAGATGGCCACAATCTCGACGAAGAGAAGCTGCTTGGATTTCCAGCGTTCAAGAACTGGTTGGAAACACTCAAAAAGAATCTTAAGGTGCAAACAACTCCTGGACACACGTTTGAGAAGGATCCATGGCGCCTGGAGGGCGTGAATATACACAGCGTCACAGTCTTTGCGAACGGCAAGATAGGTTTCATGACGATCGAAGCCTTGATGAAGAGTGGCAAAACAAATCTGGAACGAGTTATCTTCTTGCGTGGTGGAAGTGTAGCTGTTCTGATGATACTACGACCTAAAGACAACAGGAACGAGCGATGGGTCATTCTCACAGAGCAGCCACGAATCGGCGCATGCAGCACTGCTTTCCTTGAGATTCCTGCAGGAATGCTAGATGACAAGTCTGGCGATATAATTGGGAAAGCAATGGAGGAAATCCAAGAAGAGACGGGCCTGAAGGTCAGGAAAGAGGAGTTGATTGACCTGACCGCAATGGCCCTTCAGCAGGCTCAAACGAAAGAGCACCTTCAACCAGCTGTGTACATGAGCCCTGCAAATCTCGACGAATACATCCCGCTGCTGTTGTGGGAGAAAGATCTGGACCGGAAGGAGATCGAGGCTCTGAAGGGGAAGTTGACGGGCGAACGTGCGAAGGACGAGTTGATCACTTTGCGCGTCCGCGATTACGAAGTGCTCTGGAAAGAGGGCGCAAGAGATGCTAAAACGCTCTGTGCGTGGGCGCTGTACGAAGGATTGAACGGGGCCGGAAAGATTGAAGAGCAATTACGGCAAATTCGCATATTCGGACACACGGATGACTCACAGGGGAGAAGATATCTCCCCTAACTCCTAAAGTCGAAGGCCTTTTCGATTATTTTCGCACTATTTTTCGTCTGAAGAAGCGCTACTAGCCGGCTCAATCGGTCGCCAGCCTTTTGATGGAATTATGCTCGAGCTTTGGTAAACACAAGACCCGGCTGATAGACAGTATGGGTACCTGCAGAGTGCAGTTGAGGTGTTGATAGCGGAACGGCCCGTAGTTTCATCGGTCGTTACGCAGCAAATGTTTCGGTGTAAGGGGTGATCTTCGCGACTCTACTGTTCGCGAACTGAATACGCGCGTTACGAAGTATGATAACATGTTTCTCAATGAAATCGGAGGCGCTTAGACTTTGCAGAACTCAAGCTTCATGACTCGTAGACGCGTGTAGACCAAGGTACACGCTCTGGGTGACACATCACATCACATCCTGAAGGGTTTCACCATATACTATTTGAGGAGGCTATCACACAACAGCCCGTGTCACTACACGTAAGATATGAGGTTGATCATCGTCACGCTTCCCGCATTGATGGATCAATTCCTCGGAAAGTCTGTTGCCATGCTCTTGCTTCGGAATAGCTAAAAATGCGCGACGCATACATACTATTAAAACCTAATAAGTGCCTACTTCCTAAGTCATAGCATCCTCCTGCCCTAAGATATTCTTCAGACAATACAACACGAGCTGTGCCACCTCTAGTAGCACCAAAGGTGGCTTTTGGTACAAAACCGTGGTATCGAGCTAAGGAAGAGCAAAAGACATGTGACAAGATCTCATACGCGCCCATTTGCTATCGCCCTGAGCAAGTCCACCATGACGATGACCAGCCGCTGCTAAATTAACCATATCACGGCCATTGTCGCGAAGAAGTTTTTGGGTGTACCGAGGTTGCCATCTCAACTCCATGACACTAATCGCTGAGTGTTTTGGAAAAGGTATTCCGTGTTCGCATGCAGGTTGAACATGAAACATCTGCACCGCGATTCTCAAAACAGACCATGGACGGGCGCAGCTAACATTTTGAAACAATGTGGAGGGAGATGTAGGAAAGAAGAGAAGAGGAGTAGAATAAAAGTTGGAGCTATATATACGGCAGAGGCGTACTCTCAACGCATGGGCTGCTTGTGAACGTTTTTGGAGACCGGATGTTGCAGTGGATGTCTCTGACGTTTTCAAAAGTGATGTATCTGGCATGAAACATCATGCTCGGATTTTGGAGAAGAGAGGTCGTCATGTATGCTTCAGATGCAAGTTTCGATAAAGGCGGATTTTTTGTGGTTCTTTTTGATATGAACGGGATGCAGCGAGCATCTTGGACAACAAGCTCAAAGATCCAAGAGCGGCCATGTTGTATGCGTTGGGGCTTTTGAAGCACAGCTCACCAACATGGATTGTAGGTGTCTGTTTTTTGGTAGTTCGCGGCAGGCAGACAGCGGAAGACATCATACTGTTCGTTGTCATGTTCGAAGCAAGTCATGGCTCGAACTCCGCCGGTTTTTCATTTTGGTGTAGAAAGTAAGGTAATGGAAGAACGAAGGCGGGTGTGCCAGACGTGATATTTATACCCATCTGCACTAGCACAGAGCGACGCCATGGTGATGTGGATGGCGATGTTTTATTCTCAGCGATGCACAGCGCAAGTTGACACAACCGCCCGATCATGAATTCTGCTACCTTTCCTTTTTGGTTCACATGGATAGCACGAGGAGTAAAACAATGGCCATATCGAGATTGGCTGTATTTTTTTGAGAATGTGGGATCGCATATGATGCAACTCTAGTCGTTTTGGTGGAATGAAGAGACCGGAAGGGCGAGATTGTATTCGGTGTACCCTGAGGAATCGAACGCATCATGAGATTTTCTTGACGATGTTTTAGAACATACAGGTGCGTCGCAGTTGGTTTTCAAAAAGTCTCCGGCGAAGGGAAAGACCGAGGAGCAGACATCATCTTGTCGGCGCAGATATTCTGGGGAAGGCCATGATCTTGTTCATGGAACGTTTTGGTAAAACAGAAGGTTTTTCGTGTGCTTGCGAGAACAATGAAGAGAAGAAGCGACAGGGACTTAAATATCGTGAACCGGGGCCGCGACGGCGGACATGGCAAGGTTGATGTCGTTTTTTGAATCGATTGAGGGGTCCGAAATCCACAGATGATGGCTACATCGAATGGCGTTTTTGGAGATGTATGCACATAGACACTCTTCGGTTGTGTTTTGAACCGTGGAAAAGGGACGTGGACATGAACCTGATTGGGATAGCTTTTGAGACCAGCCCACATAGGCTCGCGACAGGTGGATTTTTGGAAGAATGCAAAAGCAGTATATGGGAACGAGGTCCATAGGCAGGAGAGCGCTGTTTATATAGACGTTGTGCCAAGAGGATTCCGTTTGCGTCATCTCAGAAAGGCGTGAGGAATACGATAGGAGATAGTCTAGTCTGTGAGCGGGGCATCTGGGTTCGTATACTGTACCGGTAATTTAAGTAGACTGCTGAGACAACAATGTCAACATGTAGCGAGCAAATATTTACTATCGAGAAGCAGTCGAAAGAACCACACACAATGAAAGTAGAAATAGTATTTGGGTATCAGAATACGCGACGATACGTGGCAGAAACCGCGAAAAGCACAGAGCGCAAAAAGAGTGTGGCCGAAACCAAAGACACAACGCTGATGACAAACCCGGTAAAGCCCAGAATCTCCCCCTCCCATCACTTGTACTGATACTCGTTCTCGTCGTCGCTGTCATCCTGTCTCTCGAGCACATCTTCAATCTCCTCGTTCAGCAGAAGACCCATATCATACGTCTTCTCCCTGATCTCATCCGCCTCTTCCCTGCCCACTGAACAGTCATCCATGATAAGAAGAATCGCCGCCTCAGGCACCATGACGGCTTGCACAAAGGCCGCGATACCGGATGCTTGCACGACGCGATCCTTGCAGTTCTTCATCTCGACCTTGAGAGTATCCATGACGCTCTCCGTGATGACGCGACGGCCGTGAGGACCATAGTAACCAGGGTAAGCGGCCTTTTCGTCAAGCGCGTACGACTCCAGTTCCTCTTGCACGTCTTCTGCGAGATCCGTTCGTCTCGAGGGGACGGCAGCTGCTTTTCCAGTCAATGCCAGCGGTTCGTAGCGATCTCTGTGTATACTGGACCGATCGTTGTTGAGTATTTGTAACAGCGTCGCCTTGCTTCTGCGTATTCGTCTAGGAAGTGCTTTCCAATCAATATCCGGGTATCCTTTCTGTGTGTACTCCTTCTGTGCCGACTTCTTCTTGTGCGCATGGCAAAACGCAGACTTGTTCTTCACAGTCTTATCCTTGCCTTTCCAGAAGTTCCAGTATTCGTCCTGCTCGACTGGCTCCGAACATAGTGTGCATCGTGAGCCTTCTTCCTCTACGTCAGGAAGCTTCCCGATGTAGCTGCTAATGTCGTCCAGGGCTTCCTGTGGTGCGCTGGAATCTGGCTGTGAGGAAGGTGGTTCCTGGTTTTCCTTCCAGCTGCTGAGTTGACCAAGGAGTTGGGCGGTTCTGGCTGCCTTTTCTGCTTTTTTGAGTGACTTGGGACTCATTGGAGTGATTCCTAGTTCCCTGTCCAGCTCTTCGCCTTCGAGTATCTTGGGTGTAGCATCGTCGCCTTCGGATTTTGTGTCTTTCACCTTCTTCTTCGGTCTACGCAGTCCTTCGATATTGTTTTGTGGTCTGTCGCAGTCTTTCGGCAGCGCAAAGAGCTCGTCGTCGTCTAGACCGATGGAACTTGTATCGCTCTCATCACCTGCTTGTGATATGCCAATCCGCGATTTATTCTTTGTTTCATAGGTTTGCGCACCAGGCTTTGAGGCTGCTTTCCCAAACTTCTTCGCGGGTGGTACTGCGTGTATGTTCCTGGTCTTCGAACCGTAGCCCTTGCTGTTCTTACTGGTCTTCTGGGAAGTGTGTTCCATACCCCAACTAATCGGGCCATCGTTGGCTGACCCTGCAGACGACGTAGGTGTGTTTTCTTTGGGATCGTCGAATATTGTTGTAGCTTTATGCGCTTGACCACTCCGATACGTCCCACTCGTAGGCGCACGTATTATCCCCATCCTCTTTCTCGCAGCCTTCTTCTGAGGTCTTCTCAGAGTTGTATCCTCGGTATTCTTCGACGTAGGTATAGTGGGTTTCGCGGTTTGGACCGGTTGAGGTGGGGGAGGATGCGATTCGTTGTCGGAGGACACGGGCTCGGCATTGATATCGATTTCTTCCTGCTGATTTGTAGACGAAGTGTTGTCATTCGCCTGCCTCTTGGACGCGGGTTCTTCATGATCGTCCTCCCCAGCATGCCGCTTTCCACCAATGTTTCTTAACAATTTCGGCGCCTGCTTCGTCAGGTATACCATTGCCGCGCATGAATGAAGGAAACCGAACGAAAGAAAAAGATACAATGCGTCCTCGAGGTAATGCGATGTCGGCGCACGTGAATGTATAGTCTTCCCGAGACGGACTCGAGATCATGCAGCAACGCGCCTTCCGGCGTTCCACCCCAGAACGCGAACACCGCGTTCGCGCTAGTCCGTCTTATCGATAACGCCCGAGCTCCGCCAAAAAAAGTTACCAGAAACTTGCCAACTTCGGTCGCAAACCCTCCTAAACAACAGCAAACCCCCGGCATATTCTCACGATGGCTCTAGACGAAGCGCTGCAGCAGCCCTTGAACTTCACTGGTCATCGGCATATGATCTCGCGCCTCCTCCTGGCAACCCTCACCGGCCGACCCGTTCGCATCTCGCAAATTCGCTCTTCCTCGACCACACCCGGCTTAACACGCCATGAGACAAACTTCATCCGGCTGCTCGATTCGGTGACGAACGGCTCGCAGGTTCAATTCAGCATGACGGGTACGACACTAGTCTACAGACCGGGTCTCATCACCGGAAGCGCCGAGGGTCTAGGAGCCAGCGGCGGCGTAATCAGACACGAGATACCAGCCGAGTGCAGAAAGAGGGGTGTGAGCTGGTGGTTGATCCCACTCTGCGTTCTC